AATGCGCCATCATGATCAGTTTACGCCAGTGCTATGGATTAAATTCAGGACCCTATGCATGCCCCCTCTACTAAGCTACACCCACAGGGCATGCGTTTTCAGTCAGAAAAAAAAAATAGAACTTCAGAAATGATGCAGGCTTTTGAGAATGATGGGGTCCTTCATTGACCAACTTCATAACCCAGTAACCTAATTTACTGGACACGTACAGTCACCACAGATCAACCTGGGACAGTGTTCTAAGGTCATTGTCTAATGCTAATGAAGATTATCGGTGTAGTGTCATGTGGAAGTATGCAAAGCAGAAGCAGGCCTTACTAAGAATTATTGTATATGGTTGGAGTGGTGGCTTAGAGATTAAAAGCATTGGCTGCTCTTCCAAAGAGGGGTCCTGAGTTCAATTCCTAGCAACCATGGTGACTAATGAACATCTATAAAGAGATCAGGTACCCTGTTCTGGACTGCAGTCCTATATGCAGGCAGAACACTGTATACATAATAAATAAACAAATAAATAAACCTATAAAAAACTTATTGCATACACGTGAGAAATTAAGAAAAAATGAGAAACTAAAGAAAAGTAAAAGAAAGTCCCAAGTGTGGAAGGGGTTTCCAAGACAGGGAGAAGCTGCCAAACTTCATTGTCTATATGGTTTTTAGTTTTTTCTTATGACAATGGCAAAAATTGGACAAAGACTGAGGTAATTTCTATCAAGATTAGTTAATTCAGACTGGAGAGATGGCTCAGCAGATAAGAGCACTCATTCTTGCAGAGGACCCAGATTCAATTTTCATCAGCCATAGGGTAGCTCACAACCGTCCATAACTCTAGTTCCAGGAGATCTGATACCTTCTCCTGATATCCTTGGGCACCAGGCATGCACATATACCTGGTGCACAGGCATATATGAAAGCGAAGCATTCATACATAAATGTTAGCTAATCCTCTGGCTATTACCGGCCAAGCCAGTAGAGGGCTCACATACTCTATGCATGTTACCCCAACCCAACCCAGAGATGATGCTATTAACTAGCTCCCCACTCTTTTAGGGATGGTTGAAACTCTCTATCTCTTAAGTTGTGCTGTTAGCTGTTGGTACCCATCTTAGGGTTTTATTACTGTGAAGGGAGAGACACCATGACCATAGCAACTCTTATAAAGGAAAAAGTTTATTTAAGGCTGGCTGACAGTTCAGAGGTTTAGTCCATATCCTCATGGTGAGAGCATGGCAGCATCCAGGCAAACAGACATGGTGCTGGAGGAGGAGCTGAGGGTACTACCTCTTGACCTACAGGTAGCAGAAGACTGTGTGCCACAGGAAATGGAGCTTGAACATATGAAACCTCAAGGCCCACCCCAATGGTGACACACTATCCTCAACAAGGCCCTACCTCCTAATTTCCCTATGGTTAAGCATTCAAACATGAGTCTACTCAACCTTCCAGGTGTCTTGCTGGCTGCTAATTAGACTATGTTTTCTTCGACCCCACATTTACACAAACAATTCATAGCTTTTCCATTGCAGAGTTAGTTCTATCACAGGCATCAAGATGTAGCTGCACTCTTTTCTGTTTATTTCATACTGAGCTCATTGTCTTTGGGGTAGTGTGAGTAGTCTCCCGTGCAGAACCTATTGTTAGCAGCCATCCTTACTTACAGTTTAGTCTATGACAATCAGCAACATCAGAAATAAGACTATATGAGAGAAGCCGGGCGGTGGTGGCGCAGGCCTTTAATCCCAGCACTTGGGAAACAGAGGCAGGCAGATTTCTGAGTTCGAGGCCAGCCTGGTCTACAGAGTGAGTTCCAGGACAGCCAGGGATACACAGAGAAAACCTGTCTCGACAAAAAAAAAAAAAAGAGTAGTGTCTCAATGGGTTTAGAAACCCAATGGTTTCCCTTCACAGGCCCAGGGCCCTGTCCGTCTAGTTATGTTCACCTTATCTGCACCACCCCAGCTACAAGCTGTCTTCCTCGTTTTCCTCAGTGTTCAGGACTTGGCCAACATGACTCTTAATCCTTTAAAACCAGCCTCTGTTTCTATTGGAATCTATGTGAACAATTTACAGTTCTCACCAAGGACCCTTTCCCCTAACAAAAGCAAGCTCCTGCATCCCATCAGACATTAGTGACTAACAAGATCCTGCATCCCATCAGACATTAGTGACTAACAGGCTCCTGCATCCCATCAGATATCAGTGACTAACAAGCTCCTGCATCCCATCAGACATCAGTGACTAACAAGCTCCTGCATCCCATCAGACATCAGTGACTAACAAGCTCCTGCATCCCATCAGACACTAGTGACTAACAAGCTCCTGCATCCTATCAGACATCAGTGACTAACAAGCTCCTGCATCCCATCAGACACTAGTGTTTAACAAGCTCCTGCATCCCAGCAGACATCAGTGACTAACAAGCTCCTGCATCCCATCAGACATTAGTGACTAACAAGCTCCTGCATCCCATCAGACACTAGTGACTAACAAGCTCCTGCATCCCATCAGAGACATTAGTGACTAACAAGCTCCTGCATCCCATCAGACATTAGTGACTAA